AATTTGCGTACCTTACTTCGATTTGGGGGGTAAGTGTAGACCAGCCCTTAGTTTCTGAGCCTTTAGGGTATACTAGCTTCAGCCCTCCCAAAGAATCCTATACCTAAAATGCTTGTACATTCCTGTAACATTCAATTTGACCTTTCAGTATCATGTGATTTTCCCCCTCTCCTACCCCCTTTTGTAATTGAAAATGTATTAAACATCCTTATTTCTGTAAGTCATCCCCCATCCTGCAAACACTGAAGTATACAGTTCACGCTCCCACGGGCCTGGATGGGGGCTGAGCTGAGCTCCCTGGGGTCCCTGATTCAGGGCAGTGTAACACAACCGTAAATAGGGAACGAGTGGAAAGTTGTTGGACGACAGCTTCTGAAGGTGTCATGTTGTTGCATGGGCACTTGGGAGACCTTGCTCTTCAGAGAGGCTATTGATGAGATCTGACACAGGATAATGGCCTATTCTCCACTTCCAATCCTCTACCTGGGCCCTGGCCTGTCCAGCTCTGTCCCCTCGGTTTCCCCATCCTGAAAAAAACTACCCTTAACCTTGCTTGTCTCTCCACCTACCCCACTGTCTCCCTCCACTCTCTGGCCTCACAGAGGACTGGCCATTGCCTTCCTCCTCTCTATTTACACTTGGACCCAGCTGATGCGGTCTCCACCGGAACTGCTCTCCCTGAAATCTCCAGAGACATGTCCAAATCTCAGAGCCTGCAATTTGTCCTCATCCTCCTTGACTTCTCCACTACCCTTGATTGCTCTCTATGATTCTATCTACCCCTTGATTTTCACACCCTCTTTCCTGGTTTTCATCTTACCTCTGTGACCAGTCCTTGTGTCTCTTTTGTCCACTCCTCTTCTAGGGATTCCTCAGGGCTCTAAATAGCATCCATACCATCTAGCTACCCAGTGAGATGTCTTGCATTCCTCACTGTAGTGTGCAAGCACGTCCAAATAGCAATCTTTTCCTAATGAACAAAATAATTCTACACACCCCGTTAGAAACAGACCTAAAAATCTAGTGCCTGTACATAGTATAACCTTAACTTTCACAGACGAGCTCTGAGCCACAGTCTTTATATGAAAGTAGCAATTGTTAGCAGTGTGACTCTAGTTGTATCTGTTAGCATGCTGAGAAAGTGTGTGTGTAATCATTGTGCCCCAAGCCATGCCAGGAATTCGTTTTAGTTCTCCACCCAGAGAACGGCAGGGTGCCGTGGTAGTGACTGCTATATTAGTTACCTTATGCTTTTCCGTTACAATTCTACAGACTGTTCTTTGAGACCTCTAGTTCCTCCACGATATGAACCAGGACTCCATAGTTCAGCAAGAGGGATGTACTGGGGTCAGGGAAATGCCTTTTGCTGGCCCCATGTCAATCTGTTCAGATCTGGCAATTAGGAGCAGTTGGAAATTGTCATTTCCTATCTGCAATTTGCTGACTGCAACCTGCTGTCAATAACATTCAATGAGTACTGCACAAGCAGCACCCCACCCAGCTCTCTTCCAGCCAGGACACGGACAAAATGGCTCCTCAGCCACTTAGCTAGCCGTGGGGGTCAGGGAAGGTGCACCAGATGGGGGACTAGGATTTCACAGCTGTCTTCTGACCGCATTGATAATTATTTATTCAGGAACTTTCCTACTGAGTGGTCTTGGCCTAGCATAAACCTGAGGTCACATCCGTGGCTCATATCCCTCACACCTGGCCACGCTGGGAACAGAACCCAGGTGTTTAATATGGGAGACTCAACCACTTAGCTGTGGCAGCTTCTTTCTGAAAGGCAGTGTGGCTACAGATTCAGCTATGCTGTCTTTACTCCTGTTTCAGTGTGCTACACACTCCGCTGTGGCTGGGCCACAGAGCACAAGAGCCTTCACCCGCCAGCCACTACAACTATGGGGGAGAGATAGTTCAGTGGTTTGAGCATTGGCCTGCTAAACCCAGGGTTGTGAGTTCAATCCTTGAGGGGGGCCACTTAGGGCTCTGGGGCAAAATCAGTACTTAGTCCTGCTAGTGAAGGCAGGGGGCTGGACTTGATGACCTTTCAAGGTCCCTTCCAGGAGATAGGATGTCTCCATTAATAAAAATAAAACTAATCTTTCAACTCACGTGCGCAGGGTCTGCACTGCCATACTGAAGGGGTTGGGTTTAATCAGGATCATGGTGGGGTGAGGGCATTAGAGTTTCTTTTAAAAGACCCTTGGAAATTATATACAAAAGACTCCTCCATTCAGAATGTAGAGCAAAGCCCAGGACTCAAAAGTCAGGAAATGCCAAATTTACAACTCTGCCCTGTAGTGACCTCATGGCAGGAAAAAAACCTAGTGTCTCCCCTAAAAATCAGTTTAGTCTAAGGCAGTGGTTCTCAAACTGGGGGTCAGGACCCCTCAAGGGACTGCGAGATTCCTACATGGGGGGGTCACGAGCTGTCAGCCTCCACCCCAAACCCCTCTTTGCCTCCAGCATTTATAATGATGTTAAATATATAAAAAGTGTTTTTAATTTGTAAGGAGGGGGTCACACTCAGAGGCTTGCTGCGTGAAAGGGGTCACCAGTACAAAAGTTTGAGAACCACTGGTCTAAGCTGTCACCTCTGTCACTAAAAAGCTTAGTCATAATGAGAGTTATGGAAGGGCCTGACTTGGGGGCAGAGTCAAGGTTGTTTGGGTGCCTTCATGGTGCTTTCCCCAAGCATTACAAGTTTGGATTTCTTTCAACTGCAGCCTCATGTCTGAATTTCCTGGGTGCGTGGCACTTGGGTTAGTAAGAATTACAGCCTCCTGGTAATTTTTTTTTTTTTTAAACTCTTAAGTTACTGGGGCCTGGTCTACACTAACCCCCCAATTCGAACTAAGGTACGCAACTTCAGCTACGTGAATAACGTAGCTGAAGTCGACGTACCTTAGTTCGAACTTACCACGGTCCAGACGCGGCAGGCAGGCTCCCCCGTTGACTCCGCGTACTCCTCGCGCCGAGCAGGATTACCGGAGTCGACGGCGAGCACTTCTGGGTTCGATTTATCGCGTCCAGACAAGACGCGATAAATCGAACCCAGAAGTTCGATTGCCTGCCGCCGAACCAGCGCGTAAGTATAGATAAGCCCTAATGCTCCCAGCCTTCACTCCATTTCAAGGAGGCTGTGGGTCTTGGAACTTCCTTGCTTTGTTAATTATTAAAAATTCCACACAAGCCCTACCCAAGACGCCCCAAGACATGCTCCCAAGGGACATTGCCAATGATTTGAAGATCTGCTCTATCAACACTAAACCTTTCTCCCAAATGTTCACTTGTCAGGTCAGGGGCAGCGGAGCCAGTGGGAGAGGCTGGCGTTGAATCTGCGGTTGGCTGATTGGCTTTCAGAGGGCTGCGTTAGCAAGTCAGCCTTTGCCATCTGGCCTGGGCACCCAGTTTGTTTCTTTAACTTGTAATCAAGCCATTTCTGCTTGTGTGAAATCACTTACGACTAGGAGTGACATACACCATGCATGTCTCAGCCCGTCCGGCCCTCCCGAGTTGGTCTCCTTAAGCAACCGGTGCCTAGAAGCAGACTCACGACCACCCAATCTGTGCACAAATGATACATTTATTGAAAGAGTATTTTTTAATACAAAAGAAAGCTCTGTACATAGTACTGTGATTACGTCCACATCCTTCCAGAAAGCCCTGGAAACGTTTAAAAAAAAAACAAAAAACCAAACCACAACCACCACACACACGGACGCACGCACACACACACACACAACCAAGCACACGCTCGCACACACAAACCCAAAACAATCAATAAAAGGAACTAAAAAGGTCACCACACAATAAATGCCATTTCATCCCTGATACACAAGTGTTCTGACAAGTCCGCACTTTAAATAAAATGCAACATTAGCGTTTAACCTGCATTTCCTTTGGAGGGGAGGGGGAGCACTTCCTGACGCTGCACGGGGGCTTTAATCAACTCATTCCAGCTCTGGCCAGGGGGTCAGTTTCACAGCGTCAGCCCGAGAAAAGCAGGGGGGAAAGGCCAGACAACAGCTCCAGACCCCCTCCCTGCCCTGGGCTGACTCCTGGTTAGCAACACGAAGGGGAAGTGCTGCCCGGAAAAGTGGCTCTGTTCCACAGAGAGACCTGGGCATATCGTCCTGAGCCACGGCTGGGCTCTAACCCCCACCCCGCCTTACGCGGCCCCACAACGGGTCAAGCTGCTGCTTGGAGCCAGGAGCTGCGCAGACAGAGGAGCGGAGAGCCTGGCTCGGAGGAGACTCCGGGGAGCTCCCCAGGGCTGAGGAACAACGTCCACGCTCCCAAGGGGACCTGCCCAGCTCCCCAGGGAACAGCACGAGGAGAGGGCTGGCGAGAGGCTGACACCTCTCCTCAAAGCAGCGGAGGTGGGGAAGAGCCATGTCTGCCTGTGTTACTGAGAGGGGTGTGAGGGGCAGAGAACGGCCCCGGGGGGACAGGAGAGCCAGCAGCCTGAAACGCCGGCATCTTGCCCGCCCAGGGAGAATTAAGGCTTCGCAGGGACATAGGAAACTTCTCCCGACGTGGTCTCAAAACACACTGCTGGAGGCACTTGTTTCCCAGACTGACAGCAGCTTTAGGGAGTGGGGCGCCAGGGGCAGACGCCCCATTAGGCCCTGTCCCCTTCTCGGCTCTGAGGGCACCATTCCAATTCCAGCCGACACCAGACAGGGCCCTGGAGCCTCGCGCCAGCCTCTCCCCCCTTCCCACCACACAGCAGGAGGGAGCAGAGGCCAGACTCCCTGCCCTGTCCTCCCCCCACCCCAGCAGGAGCCAGCCCGCCAGCCCCTCCCTGCTCTCCGGGGGCCGGTGGCTAGACGGTTGCCCGCCACGCAGGCCAACCCAGTCTGGCACAAGGGACGCAGGCACGCTCCGAACCGGCAGGAATGGCGGAGCTGCCCCAGTTCAATTCCTAGCACCTGTGGGCACGTCGGGGCGGGCAGCTTAAACGCTAATGCTGGAGGAACCATGTCCAAGGTTACAATACAAATTAAAAAGCAAGGCCCCTTCCTGTCCCTACCCCCCCCCCCCCACCGTGGTACAAACCCCATGAAAACTGTACAGGAGCCGGACTTTAATTCCTTTGAGAATTACATAAATACTGAGTTTAACACTTAGAAAAAAAAAGTCTTTTTTTTTTTTTTCAAGGCTTCTTGTCTTTAATTTAAAAAAGTTACAGTAGCTGCTTCGTTCCCTAAGGAGTCAGCAGCCTCCTCTCTCCCCAAAGAGCCGCTCGCTGCGCCCTACGTTCTCCTCTCCCCAGCAGGACAGGACGCTCCTTCCGAGCGGAGCCGTGCACACGACCAAAGCGCCTCCCGAGGTCAGCACTGTCCCTCGGGGGTGCCCGAAGGAATCCGCGCCGCCCCCCTTTCGCCTCCTCGCCAGGCTGTGCGGCAGCTCCGGGGACCTGTCGTTTTTCCCTTGACCGTTTCAGTTGGTTCCTCCACCTCACGTTGAAATGGTGCTTTGGAAAGCACTAACCCTGGCAGGAACTGTGCCCGGATGCAGACAGCGCCCCCGGCAGGAGCCAGGCAGCACTGCGATGCACAGAGAGCAATCCTGCCGCCACATACCTGGGTCTTCCCAGCCCCGGCACCCCGAACGAGAGCACAGGGTGGCCCCTGGAGTGTCCCATGGAGATGATTTATGTCCATGGGCTGCAGGGCTCTCTGAGAAGGGCAGGGACCCACGCTCAGGTTACCTTGCTCCCAGGCAGCTCGCTAGTGTCCAGGGGGCACAAAAGCAACTGCCTTGGCCAGGTGGAACAAGAGACATTTATCATGGGAAATGCAAACCACCATTTACTTCCAGCTCGGCTCCTCTCAGCATCAACCCCACGCAGCGCCCCCCAGCCCCGCTCCTCATGGACGGTGCTGGGACAGTGTCACAGCTTCCCAGGGACACCCGCCAGCCCAAGGAGGCATTGCACGGGGCCAGTGGGGCTGTAGGCACTGCGCCAGGAGCTCGCTTTGCTGTGTCCCAGCAGTGCCAGGGCGACAGGCAAGGGCAGCATCTCGCCCACGGTGCTGCACTATCGCTGCTGGGGGGCTGCTTGCTGCCACCTGGGCAGGAGCAGGTCCTGTCCAGCCCACCCTGCCCGCAGGAGAGCACTGGGGCGGATGCCGATGCCCTGGCAGGGGAGCAGACTCAGCCTGGGATGCCCCCTGGAGCAGCTTGCCGGTTGCAGGAGGGAGCAATGCTGAAGGCACGCTGCCTGGACCCGCTCTACCCCTCCCTGGCACATGGGCAGAGGGGAGTGAGAACTGGACCTGGGAAGAGGGCTCCTTCGGTGGGGGCTGCTCCTGTCGCGTTGCTGGGCCCGTGCCCTGCTCGGGGCTAATACTCCTGGCAAACAGCAGCTGGAGCCGCCCGGTCAGCAAGGAGCCGGGCCAGACGCCAGGCTGTTTACGGACCTGGCGGGGGAGCCCTGCCCTCGAGGGCTGAGTTTCTTTGGCTGCCGTGAGAAAAACCCAGGAAACGCAGCGTTCCAACGCAGCCCAGCCCTGGCTCAGCTCCACCCCGCGCCCCGTGTGTGCGTGCGTGTGTGTGAAGGAAACGTGAAAAGGCAACAATAAATAAGTGACGCAGTCCGTACGAGAGGGAATCGCTGCCGATCCCGGCGCGACGCTCCGCAGCCCACGGGCCAGAGATGGTACCCGGCTGGCAGCAGCTGCCACAGTTCCCGGGCCGGGGCACCACAGGGCCTCTCAGTCACTCTTGGCGCCGTGGGACGTGTCCAAGTTCACCACCTGCAGCTCTGTCAAGTTGCTGCTGCTGCCGGACTGCTGGCCAATGACAGCCATCTGGAGAGAGAAGGGAGGAGAGAGCACCAGGGAGCGTCATGCAGCCACCCCAGGGTGCAGCCAGGGCCCTGGGGCACGGGCCCACCCGGAGAGCCACCCATTGCACGGGGGGCCAATGCCAGGCCTCCCCATCCACAGAGCAATGCTTCAGGGCTCGGAGGGTGCGCTGTTAACAGCAGGGAGAAGGAGCAGCTCACCCATCCGTGCTGCCAACAAGCAGCCCAGGCTCTGGTCCTGTCCCATCTGTGGCCCAGCTCCTAGGCTGCTGCCATGTCCCCTACAGGCTGGGGGCGCCGCAGACCAGAGGCTGACTGCGTTCAGAGCACCTCCCGTCCCAGAGTCAGAGCTCACTGGGCACAGTGCCTGGGACATCCCCCGTTACCAGTGACCCCTGGGGATCCCTGCGGCCAGGGGGAGGGGCAGCGGCCTGCACACATCCGCAGGGCTGGTGTGGGGGAGAGGCCGGATGGGTGGTGTGGGCGAGGTACCCACCGAACTGCTCTGTGCCTACCTGGTGAAGCTGGACGGCTGAGACCGGAATCTGAACAGTGCCCGATGGGGCCGTCAGGAACACCTGGGGGACCGCACCTGCCACACAGAGTCAGCGCTTAGATCCTCCGCCCCGGGACGCCGCCGCGGCAGGCCGGGCCCCAGGGAACGCCGGGGCGGGGTGGGCCGTGGCAGGCCGGGCCACGTTAAACACCTGCCATCGAGCCTTTGAGAGGCGGTTCGGCCACGCGCACTGGCTGCATCACCCCGCTTCGCACCAGCCCAAGGGGCCACAATGCGCAGCGCCGGCTCACCAGGGCTTACTGCTGCTCTCCATCGCCAAGGCAGCACAAAGGAGCCAGTGTCCATCCCAAGTCACCTGTGCCCCCCGAAACGGTCTTCCCCTCCTGTTTCTCACCTCCCCCCACGTACACCCCCAAATCCCCCATCCCTTCCTGTTCCCCATGTCAACTGCGCACCCTCCCTAAATCCCCTTCCCACCCCCAAATGCACTCCCCAATCCCCCTTCCTTCTGCTCCCACCCCACCCCCCAAAATGCCCCTCCTGTCCCATTGCGCGCATCCCCCAAGTCTCCCTGCCCCCCATGTACTCCCCAAATCCTGCTCCCCCATGTTCCCACCCACACCTCCCGTCCCTGGCGAGCAGGTCTGGGGCAATGGGTCGGTTTTGACGTCGTCTCTTAGGGCCGAGGGTCAGTTTTTGCTGGTGCTCCGCTTGCCTGAACGCTTCACCCAGCCCCACTCAACAGCTGCCCTCTTTCAAAATGGCTGCTCTCCCCCACCCTTCTCAATGGCCCTGGGGTGACAGACGGCTCTTGGCACATCCAGCCCCCACTGCTGGGGAAGACGGCGACCCCCCTGCTGCCAGCAGGCAGAGAGGATCATCCGAAGACGGATGGGGGCCGGGGCCGGACATGTGGGCGGGGGCTGGATGCACTGGGGGGGACCATGCACAAGGGAAGTCTAGCGCACCATGGGGAGCAGCCCTCTTACCCTGATCCTGGACCTGTCCGTGGGAGACCTGCATTGCCGAGGATGCCTGGGAGAAGGCATTGAGGACGGTCAGCCCCCCGTCTGTCAGGCCTGAGGTGGGCGCATACATCACGGCGTGAGGGCTGGGGTACATCATGTGGCCTCCCACTGTGGTTGGCACAGACGAAGTCATGATCGTCGCTGGCAGCGTCACTGGCAGGAAAACAGAGCAAGCGCTACTCAGAGGAGCGGGAGGGGCTTCCCCAGGGAGAGCACGACCTGCAGCTCCCCTGCACTGCACCCGCAGTGCCCCTCCACAGCGCTCCTTAGGCAGGACAAGCACTGCACCCCCAGAGCCTCCGCTGCCCCCACGTCCCCTGCCCTGCATCCCTGGAGTAGCCAGCCCATGAGGATTCATGCCCAGCTGTGATTTGCCTGCATTAGATTTCGGGGATTTCTAAGAGACTTCACAAGCTGCTCCTGCTGTGGCTCCGGAGCAGAGGGCAGGTTGGTTGGGTGCATCAGCCGGGCGTTCCCAGGCTGGGATTTCTTCTATGTGGGACCTTAGCTCGGCGTTTGCGGGTTAGGGGATCCTGGATTCCAGGGCCAGGAGGCCCATTGGGATCACCTCGTCTGACCCCCTGGAGAGCACAGGCCAGACACCGGCCCCCAATCATTCCCGGAGCAGAGCTTTTAGAAAAACAGCCAAACTTGATTGAGGAATTGCCCATGATGGGGAATCCAGCACGACCCTGGGTGAGTCGTTCGCCTCATTTCCAGTGTGAATTTGTCTGGCTTCAACTTCCAGCCATTGGATCACGTTAGACCTTTGTCTGCTAGACTGAAGAGCCCATTATTAAATGTTTGTTCCCCGTGAAGATTCTTGTAGATTGTCCTCAAGTCACCCCTTAACCTTCTCTTTAAGCTAAATAGATCGAGCTCCTTGAGTCTATCACTCTAGGGCAGGTTTTCTAACCCTTTCATCATCCTCATGGCTCTTCTCTGAGCCCTCTCCAATTTATCAACATCCTTCTTGAACTGTGGGCACCAGAACCGGACACAGGATCCCAGCAGTGGTCACACCAGTGCCAGACAGAGATAAAACCACCTCTCTGCTCCTACACAGGATCCCCGTTTATGTATCCCAGGCTCCCGTTGGCGATTTTGGCCAGACTGTCACACAGGGAACTTGTGTTCAGCTGATTACCCACCACAACCCCCGCATCTTTTTCAAGAGTCGCAGCTTCCCAGGATAGAGGCCCCTCTCCTGTAAGCGTGGCTACATTCTTTGTTCCCAGAGATATGCATTTACAATTAGCCATATTAAAACACATAGTTTGCTTGCGCCCAGCTTACCAAACGATCCAGATCACTCTGAGTCAGTGACCTTTCTCTTCACTATTTACCCGTCTCCCAAGTTTTGTGTTATCTACAGGCTATCAGGGATGATTTTATGTTTTCTTCCAGGTCATGGATAAAAATGTTAAATAGCCTAGGGCCAAGAACCAGTCCCTGTGGGACCCACTGGAAACGCACCCGCTCGATGAGTCCGTTTACAGTTATTTTTGTGACCCATCAGTTAGCCAGTTTTTAATCCATGTCATGTGGGCCATGTTAATTTTATATCATTCTAGTTTTGTAATCAAAATGCCATGTGATACCAAGTCAAGCCCCTGACAGAAGTCAATATATATTATGACAACATGACTACCTTTATCAAAGAAACTTGAAATCTCAGCCAGAAAAAGGTATCAAGTTAGTTTGACAGGATCTACTTTCCATAACCCATGCTGATTTGCATTAATTACATTACCCTCCTTTAGTTCTTTATTAATCAAGTCCCGTATCAGAGGCTCCATTATAGGGTGACCAGACAGCAAATGTGAAAAATCCAGATGGGGGTGGGGGGTGGGGGGTAATAGGAGCCTATATAAGAAAAAGACCCAAAAATCAGGACTGTCCCTATAAAAATCGGGACATCTGGTCAGCCTACTCCATTATCTTGCTTGGGATCAATAGCAGGCTGGTAGGCCTATAATTATCTGGGTCATCCCATTCACCTTTTTAAAACTGGCACGTTAGCTTTCTTCCAGTCTTCTGGAAATTTCCCAGGGCTCCAAGACTTATTGGAAATCAACATTAATGGTCCAGCAAGCTTCTCTGCCAGCTCTTTTAAAACTCTTGAATGCAAGTTATCTGGACCTGCTGGTTTCAAAATGTTTTGACTTTAGTAGTTCCTATTTAATACCTCCAGAGATACTAGTGAAATGGAAAGTGTGTTATCCCTATATGATGAGACTATATCATCTGTTTATTCCCCAAATACTGAACAGCAATATTTATTGAGAACTTCTGGCTTTTCTGTTATTTTTTGATAATTGTACCATTTCCATTGTCAGGATTCTTTTTGTTCCTAATATATTTTAAAAACTCCTCCTTATTGTCCTTATATCTGCTACAGATTTCTCCGTGTCCCTTTGCTTCCCTTACCAATTTTCTACAATTCCTAATTTCTGATTTATAGACATTTCTATCAACTTCCCCTTTCTTCCATTTCTTTTTCATATGAATAAAATTATTTAGTGACGTTGCACTCCATATGTTTTATGGAAATATGCTTATGATTGTAAATATGATACAACTGGAATATGATTTATGCAAAAGGTCTCTTTGTAAGATATCATTACAAAGGTTATAACCTACTGAATATATTCATCCTATTTGTATGCATGTATCATTATTGTATCTGAAGCTAGAAAGATGAAGTACAACTCTGAGGTCCTATTGTAATTATGCAAAATGTGGACCATTAATGGGGGTTTAGAATCTTGATGGCTCCCAGTGACGAGGACAATTGGTTGTAAATGGTTTATTTACCTGCAAGTCTTCCTATGTGTGGGCCAACCCAGGAAGAATGGAGACTAGGGGTCTTACAGTGACATGTGACCATGTCACATGATACTGGAATCCATCTTAATCCTTGTACTTTTTCATTGATGAGGCGGGGGTGGGGACAAATACAGTCAAAAGATCCCCAGCTTGTGCCAAAACCATTAAAGGGGGTGGAGCAGGACAAAAGGGGCTGCCAATCATGAGAAAGCCCCTGCTTACCACCTGAGATGTCTGCTGGAACGAACAAGGACTGTACCAGGGAAAGGACTAGGCACAGACTAGGAAGGTGTCTAGTCTGTGAAAGAAGTTTGTTGGAACATCTCTGAGGGTGAGATATTACCTGTAATCAGTTTCTTAATGTATTAGGCTTACACTTGCGTGTTTTTGCTTTAGTTTGCTTGGTGACTTACTTTGTTCCGTCTGTTATTACTTAAAACCACTTAAATTCTACTTTTTATATTTAATAAAATCACTTTTGTTTGTTAATAAACCCAGAGTAAGTGATTAATACCTGGGGGAGCAAACAGCTGTGCATCTCTCTCTATCAGTGTTATAGAGGGCGAACAATTTACCCTGTATAAGCTTTATACAGAGTAAAGCGGATTTATTTGGGGTTTGGATCCCATTGGAAACTGGATGTCTGGGTGCTGGAGAGGTAACCTGCTGAGCTGTTTTTAAAGTCTGCAGCTTTGGGGGTGTGGCCCAAACCCTGGGTCTGTGTTGCAGCAGGCTAGCGTGTCTGGCTCAACAAGACAGGGTTCTGGAGTCCCAAGCTGGCAGGGAAAACGGGCTCACAGGTAATTTCAGCACATCAGGTGACCGTCCCAAGGGGATCTCTCTGACCGAACCTGTCACAATATACTTTTTAACAGCTGCCTTCATTTCCATCTAAGTCAGATCAGTTTTTCAACCAGTCCGGCCCTCTTCTCCGATTGGGGGAAAAATGGTTACTCGCCTTCTCGTAACTGTTGTTCTTCGAGATGTGTTGTTCATGTCCATTCCAATCAGGTGTGTGCGTGCCGCGTGCACAACAGCCGGAAGATTTTTCCCCTAGCAGCATCCGTCGGGTGGATCTGGGCACCCCCTGCTGTCGTGCCTTCATGGCCCTGCCGACCTGCCACTCCTTCAGTTCCTTCTTGCCGGCTACACCGACAGAGGGGTAGGAGGGTGGGTACTGGAATGGACGTGAAGAACAGTTACGAGAACATCTCGAAGAACAGTTACGAGAACATCTCGAAGAACAGTTACGAGAAGATGAGTAACCGCTTTTTCTTCAAGTCCTTGTTCATGTCAATTCCAACCAGGTGACTCCCAAGCCTAAATTCAGGAGGTGGGTCGGAGTCGTCCACTGACTGGACCACTGCTTGTCCGAAGGCCGCATTGTCTCTGGCCTGCTGGGGAATCGCGTAGTGTGTGGTGAAAAAGTGTGTAAGGAGGACCACATCGCTGCTCTGCAACTTTCCTGGGTGGGAACCTGCACCAGGAATGCTGCTGAGGAGATCTGGTGGAGTGCGCGGAGGAGGAGTGGGCACCCCTGCCAGGCTGTAGCACTCCCAAATGCAGGATATGATCCATGACGAGATACGTTGTGATGACACAGGCAGACCTTTCATTCTGTCCGCCACCTCCACGAATAACTGGATGGACTTTCGGAATGATTTCGTTCTCTCGCTGTAGAAGGCTAGTGCCCTAGGGACATCCAGTGAGTGAAGCCTCTGCTCCCTGCCACTCGAGTGCAGCTTAGGGTAGAATACAGGGAGGAAGATGTCCTGGTTGATGTGAAACTGGGAGACAACCTTTGGCAGAAAAGCCAGGGGAGGCCTGAGCTGGACTTTGTCCTTATGGAACATAGTGTAGGGGGACTCATGTTAGGGCCCTGAGCTCAAACACCGCCTGGCTGAGGTTATCGCTACCAGAAACGCCACCTTGTATGAGAGAGAGAGAGAGAGAGAGAGCGCGAGCAGGGAGCACGTCGCCAAGGGCTCAAATGGCGACCCTATAAGTCTGGATAGGACCAGACTGAGGTCCCAAGCTGGGACAGGCTGTCAGACCTGCGGGTATAATCTGTCGAGCCCTTTAAGGAAAGGGCTGACCAACGGGTTGGCAAAGATCGAGCAGCCCTCTGCGCCTGGATGGAAGGCGGAGATGGTGGCCAAGTGAACCCCTATTGATGACATGGACAGCCCCTGCTGCTTGAGGTAGAGAAGATAGTCCAGTATAAGTGGCACCAAGGCAAGCGTTGGGGACGGAAGGTGCTGCGCCAGACTGAAAATCTCTTCCACTTGGCAAGGTAGGCAGTTCTCGTGGAGGGTTTCCTGCTGCCAAGGAGAACTTGTCTGACTTGATCAGAGCAGGACAGCGCCACTAGGTTCAGCCAGGGAACTTCCACACGGTGAGGTGGAGCGACTGGAGGTTCGGATGTTGGAGGCGGCCGTGATCTTGCGTTATTAGGTCCGGGAAGGGTGGCAGGACATTTCCAGGAGTGATGAGTACCAGTGCCGGCGGGGCCAGGCTGGAGCTATCAAGATCACCAAAGCTCGGTCCCTGCGAATCTTGAGGAGCACCTTGTGAACGAGAGGGACGGGTGGGAACGCGTATAGGAGACCGTTCCTCCACCCAGGGGGAGGCTGAACGTGTCCGCAATGGAGCCTCGGCTGTGACTCAGGAAGGAGCAGAACTGTTGCGTCGTGTGGTGAACAGGTCTATCTGGGGAAAGCCCCACGGATGGAAGATTGAGTTCTCTGCGTCCGGGCGAAGGGACCACTCGTGGAACGACCTGCTGAGATGGTCCGCCAGCTCGTTCTGTACTCCAGGGAAGGACGATGCTTGCAGCTGTGTAGAACATTCGATGCACGAGTCCCACAGCACGAGGGCTTCTGGCACAGGGGAGAGGAGTGTGCACCCCCCCCGTTTGTTGATATAAAACATTGCCGTGGCGTTGTCTGTCAGGACTGATACACAGCCCCCTGCTAGGTGGGCTCGGAAAATCTGGCATGCCAGGCGCGCCGCTCTCAGCTCTCGGACATTGATGTGTAAAGCGAGATCCGCCTGAGACCAGAGGCCTTGTGTACTGAGGTCTCCCAAATGTGCCCCCCAGCCCAAGTCTGACACGTCCGTCACTAGAGAGAGGGATGGCTGAAGATGGGTATAGGGGACCCTGCACCTGCTACCTGCGGGTCGAGCCACCACAGCAGGGAGTCGAGTACTGGGCGAGGCAGGGTTATGATCCCGTCTAAACTGTCCCAGACTGGCCGATACACAGACACTAGCCATGACTGAAGAGGTCGAAGTCTGAGTCTGGCCTGCTGTACTACGTAGGTACACGAAGCCATGTGTCCTAGAAGTTTCAGGCAGTTCCGTGTTGTGGTGGTGGGGAATTGTCTGAGACCTCGAATAATGTAACCCAGGGCTAGAAATCTCACTTTGGGAAGGACTGCCCTGGCGTGTGTCGAATCCAGTACCTCCCCTACACATCCTATCCTCTGAACTGGGGACAGCTTTGATTTCCCCTCGTTCAGTAGCAGTCCCAGTTCATCGAAAGACGCTCTTATGAAGGCAACTTGCCTCTCTACCTGAGCCCTGGATCAGCCCTTGATCAGCCAGCCTACTGTTGCTGCTAGGGGGAAAATCTTCCATGGGTCGTGCACGCAGTGCACACACACCTGGTTGGAATGGACACGAACAAGCACTCGAAGAAGAATGGAGACTTTTGGGGCATCTAGTAATGTGTTCTTAAATGATTCCCAACGATCGTTCACATTGATCCGATATTCTTCCCACCAGCTGATGTGGATCGTAAACTGCTTTGTGAAATTGGCTCTTTTAAAGCCCCCGGAATATATATATATTACTGGTCGGTATTTTACTCTGCTTGCACATTATAAATATGATTGACGATCACTTGGACTTAAGAGACCCCTCATGTTTAGTTCTGTGATCGGTACCTCTTTTTGTGTTAGGACAAAGAACAATAAAGAACTCCCTCGTGTCGGCTACAACACTTTTTGTGCTGTACTTCCTGACACCCTGAGCAGGGCGCAGACCAGCCCTGCACGGCCAGGGAAGCGCAGCCAGGCCTAGCGGCTGGGGGCAGCGAGCCAGCCGCCGCGGAGCAGGTTACCTGTTCCACTGGAAGAGGTCTGGACGAGGTCGGTGCTGCTGTCGCTGGATGGAGACGTTTGCTGTGGGGCCTGATGCACCTGGATGGCCTGCACTGGAACCTGCTGTGTCACGGTGCCGCCTGGGAGGAGAGAGGAGAGCCCTTCACTGCACGCTCCCCCGGCCGCTGCCCCCCAAAGGCAACGCAGGGACCTGCCGGCCCCGCATCACACACCCACCCCCTGCGCCTGCAGGCAGGATGAAAGGGGAGCAGAGCGCTTAGGCCCCACTCCGTGGGCTGGGGCACGTTCACACAGTGAGGGGAGGAGACCCGGCCCCTGCCTCCCGGCTGCCCCCTGCATGCACCTGATGGCGCCTGCCCGCCTGCCAGAGGAAAGGCCGACCGCCCGACCGGATTTCCACCTGCTCCCCGGCTGGGCTTGGCAGCCCCGGAGACTGATGGCAGCAAGGCGTTACTGCCCGGAGCCAGCCACGCAGAGGGGGCGTGTGGGGGGCCCTGCTTCACTGCCCTCCCCACTTGGCACACAGCCCTCGCCTACCCCAGACAACAGAGAGGCCTGAGGGGGGAGCCCAGCCAGCAGCAATATGCTCTGCCCCCTGCCACACCCCACCCCGGCTGGATTTGGAAGCCCCCCTCACAACTGGGACTCTAGCCACTAGACTACCTCAAAGGCTCCTGGTCCAGGCCCCCACGGCAGCAACCCCCACCTCAATCAGGAAAGGAGCGGGGGTGGGGCTGGGAACCACCTGCCACAGGCTACAGCCCAGGGCGTGCTGAGCTGGAGCCCAACGACGTGCCGATGCCACAGCTGACCTACGCCAGGGGACGGCCACAGGCCAGCCCCACGCAGCCAGCCCCCTCCGGGCTCTCTGTGCTCCAATGGGGGAAGCTCGCTGCGGCCCTGGCCGTGAGGGGGACACGGCTACGAAGCTGGCTCCGGATGCTAAAAGAGAAGCCCGATGTTCCTGGGAGCAGCTGTGTGACACAGCACAAGGCCGCCGGTCGAACCTGCTGGGCCCGGAAGGAGCCGTGTGCGGTTTTTGCACAATACACACAGCACAGCAGTCACCAGGCTGGCTCGGAGCAGCCCAGGGTCCCGTCTCCGACACGACCCAGGACCAGCTAGTCCAGAGAGAGGGCAGGACACCAAAACCGGGCAGCTACAGCTGTTCTGAACCCTGCCAGTCAGCGACTGGCTTCTACCTGGAACCACGAGGAGACATCCCCCCCGGCAGAACTTTCAGCTTGCCAAGTCAAGACGCTGGGAAATGCCAGCTCTCCAGCTGCCTACGCAACCTCCACTCGGCCCTTGTGCGTGCGGGCGCGTCGATTCACCATTTCCTTGTGTCCTCCTCATTCGACGCGTGGCCCCACACAGCACGTGCCCAGGTCACGAAGGCTTTGCCGCAGTGCAGAGAGCGCGACTTTGCTTCGCTCCCATTCTTTCCACGGCGGGTTTTATGTAACTTCCAGTGTTTTTAAAAAGCAAACGGAAATAACAGGAACCCCGCAGAGCCCCGCCTGGGTCATCTACAGGGGTAGAGCCTTTTGCTCCACAGCACAGACCTCCATCACTGGAGCTCGCTGAGTAACTGAAGCAGTAGTAGGCTGCTATCTTCTCCGCCAGGGAGAGTCACGCTTTGCCAAGGAGGCTGACAGCAGAGGAGTGCTGGGACTCAGGGATCCCGGGCTCTGGAGGGATGTGTGCTCTCTGGGCACAGACCCTTCCTGCCCCTGCCCCTGCCCCCCCGTCCCTCCCCCAGCCTGACCACTTCTATAGTATGTCCCCTCCTTCTCCTGTCCTGCTCTTTTCCTGTCCTCCCCGAATTGCATTTGGGTCAATGCAATGCAATTGCTTCCTCTTCCCTCGCCAGACTGCCGGGGGGGCACTGAGAGATCAGCTCTGCTCAGTCTGGTCCCAAGCAATTCCAGGGGAAGCCCCGCTCAGCCCGTGGCTGGAGCATGTTCAGAGCAGACAGAACGTTTGGAGATGGTTGATGTTGAGCCTCTAACAAACCTGTCCGGAGCATGTGCAAAGGGAATTTTCAGAGAACAACTCCACTAAATCTGGGTGAACGGTCACAAGGGCAGCAAAAGGCACCTCTCCAGCCCCAGGGCTACTCCCATGTCCCTGTTTCAAAGCACAGGGTGCTAGAACAGCTCAAAGGACAACTGTAAACACACAGCCCAGGCCGGATGACATCACCCGGGCATGGAACGCATGAGGGCACTGGAGCATGGCTTTTAGCTGGACGTCCCACCTCGACTCCTAACGGCGAATCCCCGTGGTTGGTGACAAGAACATCCTATCGCCAGTTTGAACTCATCAACTCCAGCGCCCAGCCGGGGATCTCCTTCTGACCCTGCCTGGTAGGTTCCGGAGCCTTCTGCTCTCGGCAGCTGATTTGAACTGAGACCGACCTTGTCAACGTGTCCAGTGTGCTCTGGGGACTCGCTGCTCTGTAACCCCTCCGTATATTCCTGCTCCACTTCGGACCCTGCCTCGTCTCTATTACCTGCAGAGGGGAGTTCAGGGACCCCCCACTGCCTCTAGCCTGACGCCCTATTAGTGGATCACCGCCTGTAACGCCTCTTTGGTGGAGCAGCTGTTACTGTCCTGTTTCTATTTACAAGGGATCAGTCACCCCAGGGAGCCAAGCAGCTTCCCCTCCACAGCTCCCGGCTCCCCGAAACCAACACAGCACCACCGCCAGGGCTAGAGAGAGGCGCCTGGGTGGCCAGGAATCTGCCGAGACACCCCTCCTCCCGCACCGACTTCCACAGCTGCCGGGGCCCCCATGCACAGTCAAACTCAGCCTGCACCATCCGTCGGGCTGATGGGCACAAGGCTGTGCCCAGCCCCCTGCCTGGGGAGGCCTTGCAGTGCGGCGTGAGCCCAGCTGGGTGGATCAATTCAGCACTGACCGCAGCGTCCCTGCAGCATGCGCCGCGCCTGTCTAGGATATCGCCCCTGCCAGCCAGCAGGCAAGCACTGCCCTCCAGAGCACCCTGGCCTCAGCCTCCTCTGTCCTTCAGGCTGGCATGGGCTGTGCTCCCCCCTGTCCCAGCCCCCCCGCTCCCACGAGGAGAAGCGAGCGCTGACCTGTCAGAGACACAATCTGCCCTCCGGCTGTGGCGGGGAAGCGGAAGACTGTCTGCTGTGCCTGCTGCAGCTGTCCGGCTGTGCCCGCGACCGCCTGGCCCTGCTGGCTGGAGAGGGCCAGCGAGTGCGGCTGTAACTGAGCGAGAGGAATGGTAGGGGTCCCAGGAGGGAGCGGAGCACCTGCCGAAAGGAGGGGGAAAGAAAGGCTTCATCACCACCAGCTCTTTTGACCTCCTCCAGCCCCGGAGCTTGTGCTGAGCTTCCTCCTAGGGGCGGTCCTGGACACAGCCGCACGGCCCAGCTTGGATCCCTGCAATCCCCACCACAGGCGGGGAGGCAGCGAGAGCCCATCCCCGCTCGCCCCCGGGGCAAGGGCCTGGCCGCAGGGACAGCGCCCAGAGAGCAGGCCCAGCTGGCACCGCCGGGGGCAAGGCAGCCCGGTTCGCTTCCCCCACAACCGATCGGCCTGGGGCCAGTCCCCGAGAGCCCCCCGCCCCTGGCGTGCACTGACCTGGCATGAGAGTGAAGCCGCTGGGGAGCTGCATGAGCCCTCCGGAGGCCACAGCGCTGGTGCCCGTGGTTTTGAGCACTGTCCCGTTGGCGCTGGTGACGGTGTTGGGGCTGACGCTGGCCGAGACTGGCGCTAGGTAGTTGGTGATCGGGTAGGAGGGGCCGCTGCTGACCTGCATGGACGTGGAGGTGGTGGGCACGGTCTGGATGGTCGACGTCGTCCCTGGCAAGTTGGTAACTGTGAATGCAGGCTTCAGCGAGTCCTACGAGAGACGGGCAGGTGAGGGAGAGCCAAACCGGGTCCTGAGCCCCATCCGCACCCCACCAGACC